GTCAAGCCGGTTGCGTGGGCCAGCTCCGTGGGCCGGCTGCGTGGGCTGGCTCTGTGGGCTGGCTGTGTGGGCCGGCTCCTTGCAATGCCCTCTCCCATCAAGTCTTATCTCTCGGGTCCGCCACCTCCAGCAGCCAGAGGGGGGCTGGAAAACCTCAGAGAACACCCCAGCTGAGGCACGAACCTGTGCTCAGCGAGTTCTCGGCCCTTCAGGCGCCCTTCCTTTAAAACCTAAACTATACACATTAATCTGGGCAGAGGGCCTGGCTGTAGCGCCATTGCAGTGATAAAACACGACAGTCTGGGAGGGCGACCCACGTGGGAGGCTCCTGGTTCGCATCCAGAGGCCTCCTGAGTTCCCAGGACACACACCTGGGAGCCCGCACTGGCTAAGGCTGGGGTGGGTGGAAGTATCAGGATCCACTGGGGGTGGCTGTCTCTCTGTTTCTTTCTCTCACTCATGTCTCTCTCATTCATGGAAGAAGTGAATAAATAAACTTAAAAAAAAAAAAAACTAGTCCTGTGTCCCTGTGTTGTTTCTTAGCTGCCTTTTTCTTTTTCAAGAATTATTTTTATTTATTTAAATTTGACTAGTGAGGGACAAAGAGAGAGAGAGAAATCAAGCCACCGGCTCCAGGACTCAAACCCCAGTTAGCCATGTAGGAGTCCAGTGCCCTTAACTACCACACCACCTGCCGGCCTCCTCTTAGCCACTTTAATAGCTGCATGATTTGACCTTCCCAGTACTTGTGTGTGTGTGTGTGTGTGTATGCGTGTGTGTGTGTATGTCTGTGTGTTTGTGTGTCTCTGTGTGTGTGTGGGGGGGGTTATTAGTCTTACCAATGTACGGACGGGGAGACTGAGGCCCACGGTCTAAGACTAGGTCCCTCTGCCCTCCTTTCATCAGACCCTCTGACACTGAGCATCTGGGCAGTGGCAAGGGGTCAGTTGCTCTGTGACCCTAAACCTCGCCTCTCTGGAGGCTTCTGCTCTTGCCTTAGTGTGAGCGGGGAATGGAATCCAGGTCACCTTGCCCTTGGTTCTTAGTAAGGACATGGGTCCAACCTCTAGTGGGTCTTTGGAACTGGCTGCCCTGGGCCTGTCCAGGGCCTCACGGCTGCAGGCAGTCTGAGCCTTTCATCCAGACCAGCTTTGCTGATCCTTTGACACTGGCTTCAAACTCCTGGCTTTCAGGGGCCATGGCCTGGGGCTCCTGGGGAGGGTGCGGCTGGAGGCAGCTGAGCAGGTCAGCAGGTTACAGCCATCTGTTCTCCCCTTCACATGGAGGGGAGGCTGAGGCCCAGAGAGGGGACGTGACTACGCCATGGTCACCCAGCAAGTGCAAGAACGGGGATTTGAACCTGCGGGAAGCTTGCTCTGCTCCTATTCCAGCCCCAGCACTGTGTGCCCATTATATGGAGGAGGGCAGAGGCTGCATCTGAAAAGAAACACCCTTTGTTTCCCTTGCGGCTCCGAGTCGCTGCTGGGACCCTGACAACACACCCTGGTAGTTTCCTTATTCTTCGGTGTACACTGAGGCCACACCAAAAAGAAAGCGAGAAAGAGGGTGAGAGGGAGAGAGGGAAGAAAGAAAAACAGGGGGAAGAAAAGAAGACCCTTTACAGGTTTCGTGCAGTCTCTGTCCCGAGGAGGAGCAGATCCACACAGCCCCAAGGCCGCATCCGAGGCGTGCCCACAAACACTGCTGAGGAAACGTCACCAAACGCTGAGCTTCCGCTTTGTTCTTTGGACCTCCAAGCTACTGGGTCTCCAGGCCGGTGGCTCTCCCCATCTCAGCCCCCTGAGCGCAGGGCCCTCCCTGGCCCCTGGCCCTGCAGGGCCGATCCTCATCCTCTGTCCCGCGTGTTCTCCCAGTCTTACAGCAGCCAGGCCCTCGGGGTGGCTCAGCCACACACAGCTCTGGACACAGGATTCCAGGCCACTGACCCAGTGTCTGCCCGGGCTGTTATGGCTGCCAGGCTCTGCATCTGTGCCAGCGGGCTGGCTGGGGGTGACGAGTGGGCGGGGCAGCTTGTCCAAGTGCAGCCCTGCCCAGCCTTGTCCCTGGGTGGCAGAACACAGAGAGGCTTCTGGAAGCTCCCACACCAAGCCGCAGAATGGAGAAGCTTCCAGATGCTCCTCCTCACCTGAGCCCCTTTAGGGCTGGCTGGAGAGCTTTGAGGCCAGGGCCCCACCCGCCCACATCAGTGTGGAGGGCTACCTTCCTTCTTCCTCCTCCTCTCCCTCCTTCTGGTTTGTTTCGCCTCTCCTGCCCTTGCCTAAGTATTCACCTCTGCCCACGGCTCTTTCGAGCCACCATACTTATAGTAGCCCACGGTCTCACTCCCTCCTCCTTTTCCACTCCTGTCCTTCAGGTCCTTTTCTTCTAAAAACCAGACAAATTAGAAGTCAGTCTGCTTTCCCCTCTCCAACACCTGCCCAGGCAGGGCCTCCCAACACAGAGTTCTGAAGGACCTCATTTACATCTCATTTACAGTCCTGGGCCTTAATTATTCCACAAATTGGTGCTGAGGAAAGAATCAGAGACAAACCACCAGGTGACAGCTGCCTCCGATGGGCCACCTGTCCCTCTGCTGCTCAGAAATGGAAGGCCATTGGGCAGGCTGGAGATATTTTTGTGCCTCCTCTGGGAAGACTTTTTTGGATCTAGCCACTCAGCGATACACAGGCACCTTATGACGCCCCTGCCGTGCCAGGGACTTCTCTCCTGGGGACAGGATGGTCCTGTTTACCACTGCCCCAGCCTGAGAGACCGCTGGAGGCCATAGCTTTGAACCGGGGCACTGGAGGCCAAGCTAGCTGTCCAGCTGTCTAGCTATCTAGCTGCTAGCTGTCTAGCTGTCTGTCTAGTTGCTAGCTGTCTAGCTGTCTAGCTGTCTAGCTGGCCAGCTGTCTAGCTGCTAGCTGTCTAGTTGTCTAGCAGTCTACCTGTCTAGCAGTCTACCTGTCTAGCTTCTAGCTGCCTACCTGTCTACCTGCCTAGCTGTCTAGTTGTCTAGTTGTCTAGCTGTCTACCTGTCTAGCTGTTAGCTGCCTACCTGTCTACCTGCCTAGCTGCTAGCTGTCTAGTTGTCTAGCTGCTAGCTGTCTGTCTAACTGTCTAGCTGTCTGTCTAGCTGTCTGTCTACTTGTCTAGCTGTTTAGCTATCTAGCTGCTATCTATCTAGCTGCTAGCTGTCTAGCTGTCTAGCTGTCTAGCTGTCTAGCTGCTAGCTGTCCAGCTGTCTAACTGTCTAGCTGTCTGTCTAGCTGCTAGCTGTCTAGCTGTCCAGCTCTCTAGCTGTCTGTCTAGCTGCTAGCTGTCTAGCTGTCTAGCTGCTAGCTGTCTAGCCTTAGACAAAACTTTTAACCTCTCATAACCTCAGTTGCCACCTCTGGAAAATGGGAGTAATACTCTCCTCTCACCAGGGTAGCCTTAAGAGGATCCGTGAGAGAAATCTCTGCGTGCACTTGCGCCAGCGCCTGGTCACAGGAGTGCCCCCCAAATGCTCACCGGTGCTGATCGTGCTGTGACTCTTCATAAGGTCGTTGTGGTAGATTATACATGGGTCTTCAAAAAGTCCATGGAGACCATGTATAATGAAAAAAAAATCCATGGATTTGAAGACTTTCGCACCTAGATAAACTTGTACTTTAGTTCCATTTTCCTTTCCATTCCATTTGCAAAGTCCACTTATATGGGGCTCCCACCCCAGGGAGGAGGAAGAGAGTGCCCCGCTGTCGCCACGAGGCACCGGCCTGTTTGTGCACGAATGGATGATGCAAACAGCAATGACACTGGGGGCCCGGCCAACTCCTGGAGGAGACGTGAGGCAGACAGCGCTGCCACCAGCTGTCAGGACCCATCTGACTGTTTTGAAGTGAGCGAGCATCTGCCACAGCAGAGGTCGGGGCTCTGGTGGGCGACTGGCCCCAGCTGGCTCTGTCTGAGCCCCTACATCATGAAATGAGCTCTTCCTTCAGTGAAAGGAGAGAGCTATCCTGTGCAGAGCCTCGGCCTCTGTCCTGCTCCCTCGTTCCCCAGCCTTTCCACGAGCTGCCAGCCTCCCTGCCTCTTTGGTCCAGTCCATTCCCTGACTTCTCAAGGATTGCCCCAAGGAAAATCCCATCTGCCCCTCCTCTACTCATAAACATTCACAGATGTTCCATCTTTTCCCCTGAAGGAGCCTCTTCCACCAGCATCAACCCCCACTTCTCACGGACACAACCTTTGTCACCACCCCAGAGGACTGTCCACCATCACCCCCACGGCCTTTGCCCAAGCTGCTGCTCCACCTGGAATTCGTCGCTCCATCCTGATGACATCCCACCCGGCCTTTCCAAGTCCATCACCTCCTTGAATGTACACACACGCAAATATACACATGTACATGCACACACACAAACACACACACACGTGTGCACACACACACACTCACAAAAGGTATCCTCGCACTTCTGCATTGCACGACATGGTTAAATGTCCCCTAAGTCATGTTTCTCATTCTGTTTCCTCTCCTAACTCTCACAGAGGCAGGTGGAGTCCTTGCCACCTGGTTGCTGCTGTCCCCATGGTACTGGGCTTGCCTAGACACGCCGTGCTGGTGTATCAGATGGACTCTCCCATGCACGTAAGTACCTGCTCGCCTGACCTGCAAGCATTTCAAAAGCCATTTGTCTGACACAGACATTGCCCAAGGCTTACGGCCCCAACAACAGCATCAGTGATCACTCCTTTTGCATTTCCATTTTTAGAAGTGCACAGCAGAGTGAGATTCTGAGCACAAGTCCTTCGGAAGAGTAAATAAATACATATAACTTCCAGATTCTCTGTCTCCCATCCAAAAGTCACCAGCATGCCATGTAACTCAGGGTAGGGGGCGCAATGAGCAACGACGTGGTCAGATGGCCGCGAGAGCTCTCCCAGTACTGCGGCACCTTCCCAGCCAGCCACGCGATCTTTCGCAAGGTCTGCAGAAGAAAGTCGAAAGCATGCATTACCTGGTAGGCTCTGAAACAAAGGTACGATTCAGGGGAATGGAAAGGATTTTCTTGAGAGGGTCTCGATTCAGAACATGCTCCCTGAGTTTTCCTTCTGCCCTGGCCCCAAGCTTCTGCCTGCTCTGCCAGGCAGTTCTGAAACGCCCTCCTTTGAAGCAGGGAGTTTATTTCGGGCCCACCGCATGACCAGGGACGACAAGCCAAACTATACGATGTTGTGAATCTCAGATTTCCTGTCTGAAGATTGCACCGAGGAAGCTGCAATCCTGCCTTCTGTTCCTCTGGGTGCATCGGACAGACTCGTTCCGAGAGCACCTCGGAGCTTTGGCCCTCACGTGATGTCGTCTGTGATCCCTGACATGGAGGCCATATATGGGTATGTTTCTGGAACTCCCCAGGAGGGAGCGAGTGAGGGAGGGTGATGCAGAGGGTGAGAAATCGAGGGACAGGGAACGAGAATGCCAAGACACAGAGCTGAAGCAGCAGAGTGAA